TACCTCCAACTGGGGATCAATCTGCTCCTCATCAGAAACATCACACTCTTCAGGCGCCTCGTCTACATAGACGGTGAGAGCCCGAAGGGCGCGATCCTTGCACCTGTGCCCTGGAACAAACTTCTCTTCACATCTGAAACAAAGGCCCTTGGCCATCTTCTCCTGCATCTCTTCCTCAGTCAATTTCTTGAAGCTTCCAGCAAATCTGATCACCCCGCTCTTCTCCTTTCCACTCTCCCTAGGGAAGCTAGGGCTTGGCCCTTTTGGAGCCAAGTGGTGGTTGTCCTGGTGGGCCCTCCTGAGTGCGTGTTCCTCCAAGTTCGGGCATTGGTCTTCTAGTTCTCCACCAGCTGAGCTAACTCCATTGCCTCCCTCAGGTCTCTTGGTCTCATGACCTTCACCGCATCTCTAATTTCTGGTTTGAGGCCCTTCATAAAATTTTCCCCCAAAGTACAGTTTGAAAGGCCCTCCATGTCTCCCACTAAACTCTCAAATTTCTTCGTGTATTCCTCCACTGTTCTCTCTTGAGTGAGGGTGTAGAACTGTTCTGATATCTCCCATGGGCTGCTCTCCCTGAATCTCTCCCTGATAGCCTCCTTGAAGTCCCTCCAGGACCTCACCGGTTCCCACTTATCCATGTACTTGAACCAGGCAAATGCCGCCCCTTCCAAGCACATACTAGCAGCCATCAATCTCTCCTCCTCCATCAGGTCGTTCACTGCAAAATACCTCTCCACCTTGTGGATCCACTCATCCACATTTCCCTCCTCGAATACTGGCATTTTCAGCTTCCTGGCCCTCGTGTCCACCCCGTATGCCCTATTCCCCCCATGGCCTCCTCTATCCCAAGCTATGGGGTCTTCCCACGTTTCTCTTTCTCCATATCGGGGCTCATCCTCCCTCCTTGGCCGCCGGTAGCCATCTTCCCCTCGTGCCCCGCCATGGTGGTTATAGATCCCCCACGGCCGGTCCAATGGGTCGGGCCTCCGACGTCGCCAATCATCTTCTCTTCCTTCCCGGAAGTCTCTCCTTCTGTCATGTTCTTCTCGCCTGATGGACTCCCGAGGTGGCATCCTCCCGTTGCTGTCAAGCAGTTCCACCTCCTCTTCCTCTTCTGGATTCAACTTCTCCTTACCCCTGCTCCCACTACCTTCTCCTCTTTCCTCCGCTGGCACCGCCCGTGCTTGCCCTTCCAACAACTTCTTCATCATCTCCTCCAAGGTCAAATCTCTGAGCATAAACTTCTTGTTAGCTCTGTAATGTACAATACTCTAATTATTTCTTTAAGACAGAAATATATACCCCAAGGAAATCATGAGATTTATTTTTCTTTATATTTTATTATATCAAAAGATTCATCAAACCTAATCAAACCGAAATATTCATCAAACCTAATCACATTCTTGGCCATATACCTTTGAATGAATGTCACAGATGCCATGGCGATGAATGCAAGATTATTTCCTGGATATAAATAGAATTTCTCCATGGGTGGGCTACGCCCAATTTTATTTAAGCTAGGTCTAGAATAGACAAAAGAAAACCGTAAAAGTTAATCTTAAACCAAGAGACTGGGTGTAAATAAGGCTAGGCATGGCAGTGAGAAACAAGCTTGTACTAAGTTGAACATTACAAAAGGTGGCTTATTTATTGTTTTGCATCTTTATTTGAAGTCTCATGCGATTAAGATAAATATGTGTATGATTATTGCTTATCTATTGGTTGATATGTTCTTTAATTTTATTTTTTTACACCCACATTTCTTGTTTTTGTTTTCTTTTTACTTGTTTTAAAAAAAATTAATACTTCATAGGTTAAGAATTATATTCAATCTCGACTAGCCTTTAGACCCACCAGTTCAAGCAATAGTTGGGCTTGATTGAAGTATTAGATGCATTAGCTAGGCCCAACCTAAGACCAAAACAAAAAATGCAAAGTCTGGCCGAAGATAAGCCCAACCCGCCCATTGATTAGGTCTACATGTGAACTCCTTGCCTTCTTTCAAGGATGGTGATTGAAGGAGCTAGTGGAATTGCACTCAGCTAATTTAGTTTTCCATGTTTTTCTTGTATTTCATTTAACAACTTATACTCCTTTGTCATCAACCAACTTACACTTATCTTTGTCTCGATGATCACAGACTGACACTATTTTTATGATCTCTAGGAGATGTGCTTATTGATGAAGTGAGATTTGAACAATTAGAGATTCATAAGATTATTAAAAGTTTCAAAAAAAATTATTGGAAGGAGAGATTTGAAATTCAAAATATCAATATCGATACAAATACAATATCAAGTTCAGTAAGTAGCCTTTTTCCGATATGTTAGGATGCTTGATCTTGAAAGTCAGCAGGAAATATTTTATTGACTAATTTGTTATGGGCTAGAAGTAATTCTATTCACGAACACAATACTTTCTGCATTTCATCAAAATGTTATATTGATGAGAAAAGCTCTTATTCCATTGATGTGAAGTTCTCGACTACCTTCGAGTATAAGGAATCAATGAAATTGTGTTCAAGACAAAAAACCACCAAAGGGTAAAGTTGAGACCAACATATAAGTAGATGGACCCCCATCAACTCAAAAGCTTAAGCTAACCAATAGGAACCACTATTGGTATATTAAGAACTTCCATTAACTAAAAAGCTTAAACCAATGGTAAGTATCATAATGCTAGTTTAGTAAATCAACTTTTGTGTTACCTGCAATGTGGGACTAATATTCCACTCCCTATTAATCTTAAGTCTTAACAATTTGTGTTAGCTAATTCAATTCATGAACTTCTTTGTTGTACTTTCATCTTAACCATGTCTAGTCTTTGTTATCTCCTGGCTATCCTTTAATAACTACTACTATATGTGGAAAAAATTATAGCTATCTATCTATGACAAAATGTAAAGTTACAAAGAAAAGATTTTCGCATCAAATTAGCGCCAACGTTGAAACCTATAAAATAAAACCAGAAACTCCATTCTAAAACAAAAGAAAAACATTTGAAATTAAATACCTGTATCTGTTCCAGAGCTTGAAGGTCTACAGGGAATGATTCATATATTTTTCCACCAATTTGCTTATAAGTAACACCTAACTTAATCTCTGAAAAATCTGAAAGGACGTCTAGCTTGGTTAGATTAAGAGATGATAAACCATTGATCTGGCAGCAATATTTCAATGCAACAATATCAATCCATCCACAACGCCGAGGACGACCAGTAGTTGTTCCAAACTCCATTCCAGCCACCCTAAGCATGTCACCTCCTTTACCTAATATCTCAGTTGGGAAAGGACCAGATCCCACTCTAGTAGTGTAAGATTTTACCTGCAGAGAAATAACCAAAAGTACACAAAAAAAATATTAAGACTTACTACAAACAGTAAAAACATACATTCAAAAGAAAAAGGCCGAGCAAAAAAATCAAATTAACCTAAAGACGATACAACAACAACGACAACAAGCCTTTGTCCCAATACATGGGGTTGGCTATATGAATCCTTTTTTGTCATTGTGTCCTGTTAAAAGTC